CACTGTGTCAGTCCATCACATTGAGGGTCTTCCCCTTTTTCACTGATCCTCCACTTTACCAAGCGTGATATTCTTCTTCAGGGAATGATCCCTTCTGACAACATGACCAAAGTAGGTGAGACGAAGCCTGGTCATTCTCACTTCCAAGGAGCATTCTGGCTGCACTTCTTTCAGGACAGATCTGTTAGTTCTTCTGGCAGCCCATGGTACTTTCAGTATTCTTCACCAACACTACAATTCAAAAGCATCAACTCTTCTTTGGTCTTCCTCATTCATTGTCCAGCTTTCATATGTGTATGAGGCGATTGAAAATACCATGGCTTGGGTTAGACGTGCCTTAGTCTTCAAAGAGATATATTTTCTCTTCAACACTTTAAAGAGGTCTTTTGGAGCAGATTTGTCCAGTGCAATACATCATCTGATTTCTTGACTACTGCTTCGATTGGTGTTGATGGTGGAAACAAGTAATATGAAATCTTTGACAACTTCAATCTTTTCTCCATTTATTGTGATGCTACTTACTGGTCCATTTGCAAGGATTTTCCTTTTCTCTATGTTAAGGTGTAATCCAGACTGCAGACTGTAGTCTTTAATCTTTATCAGTAAGTGCTTCAAGTCATCCTCACTTTCAGCAAGCAAGGCTGTGTCCTCTGCGTATCTCAGGTTGTTTATGAGTCTTCTTCCAATACTGATGCCACGTTCTTCTTCATACAGATGCCACTTGGATGATTTGCTCAGTATACAGTTTGAACAAGTATAAAGCACTTCCTTGATGATTTTAAACCATGCAGTATCCCCTTGTTCTGTTCTAACGAAGCCTCCTGCTCTATATACAGGTTCCTCGTGAGCACAATTAAGTGTTCTGCAATTCCCATTCTTCTCAAGGTTATCCATAATTTGTTATGATCCAAACTGTTAAATGCTTTTGCAAAGTCAATAAAACACAAGTAAATATCTTTCTCGTGTTCTCTGCTTTCAGCCAAGATCCATCTGACATGAGCAATGATACTCTTCCTTACATGACCTCTTCTGAATACAGCTTGCATTTCTGGAAGTTCCCTGTCAATATACTACTGCAACTGTTTTTGAATTATCTTTAGCAAAATTTTACTTGCGAGTGATATTAATGATATTGCTTGATAATTTCCACATTCTGTGGGATCATCTTTCTTTGGAATGGTCCATATATGATCCAAATATGGACCTCTTCCAGTCAGTTGGCCAAGTAGTTGTCTTCCAAATTTCTAGACAAGTAAGTGCCTCCAGTGCAACATCCATTTGTTGAAACATCTCAATGGGTATTCCGTCATTTCCTGGAGCCTTGTTTTTCACCAATTCTTTCAGCACAGTTTTGACTCCTTCCTTGAATACTATAGGTTCTTGATCATATGCCAACTCCTGAAATAGATGAACATCGACCAATTCTTTTTCACATAATGACTCCATGTGTTCCTTCCATCTTCTTTTGATGTTTCCTGCATCATTCAGTATTTTCTCCATAGAATCTTTCAATATTGCAACTCAAGGCTTCAATGTTTTTCTTCAGTTCTTTCAGCTTGAGAAATGCTGATTGTGTTCTTCCCTCTTGGTTTTCTAACTCCAGGTCTTTGCACATTTCATTATAGTAACTGACTTTGCCTTTTCTAGCTGCTCTTTGAAATATGTTCAGCTCTCTTTTCTTGTCATTTTCTCCATTTGCTTTAGCTACTCTCCATTCAAGAGAAAGTTTCAGAGTCTTTTCTGACATCCATTTTGATTTTTTCATTTCCTGTCTTTTAAATGACCTTTTGCTTTCTTCTTGGATGATGTTCTTGATGTCATCCCACAACTCCTCTGGTTTTCAGTCACTGGTGTTCAATGCATCAAATCTGTTTCTCAGATGTTCTCTAAATTCAGGTGTGATATAATAAAGGTCGGGAGCTCTGGTAGCATAGTGCCTAAGGCACTTGACTGCTAACCAGAAGGCTGGCGGTTCAAACCCACCAGCTACTCCTCAGAAGGAAGGTTGGGCAATCCTACTTCCGTAGTGATACTGCCTTGGAAACCCAAGGAGGGGTCACTATGAGTCGGGGCTGACTCGACGGCAAATAACAACAACAACAACATAATAAAGGTCATATTTTGGCTATCGTGGACTTTTTAAATTTTCTTCAGCTTCGACTTGAACTTGCACATGGGCAATCGATGATGTGTTCCACAATCAGTTCCTGGATTGTTTGGCTGAAAATAGTGAGCTTCTCCATCACCTCTTATCACATATATAGTCGATATGATTTCTGTGTATTCCATCTGGTGAGATCAATGTGTATAGCTGCTGTTTATGTTGTTGAAAAAAGGTATTTGCAAATAATAATTTGGTGGTCTTGCAAAATTCTATCATGCAACCTTTGGCATAATTTTTATCAGCAAGGCCATATTTTCCAACTACTGGTGATTTTTGTTTGTTTTCAACTTTTGCATTCCATTCACCTGTAATAATCAACACAACTTGATTGCATGTTTGGTCAATTTCATACTGCAGAAATTTCCTCATCTTTGGCTTTGGTGGTTGTTGCATAAATTTGAATAGTAGTAGTATTAACTGGTCTTCCTTATAGGTGTATGGATATTATCGTATTACTAAGAGCATTGTACGTCAGGATAGATCTTTAAACATTTTTTGTGATGATGAATGCCATACTAGTCTCTTCATCACTCATCTGTCAGTTTGTCATACAGTGGTGGCTTGCATGTTGCTGTGAAGCTGGAGGCTATGCCACTGGTATTTCAAATACCAGCAATGTCACCCATGAAGAGTATCATTGTCACCCATAGTGGACAGGTTTCAGCGGAGCTTCTAAACTAAGACAGACTTGGGAGAACAAATGGGCCATCCACTTCTCTGTCTAACCATCCCTTCTGGTTAGACAGAGATCTTAGTATAAGCACCATTTCCTTGGAAAGCCTTCACTGACCACCCCAAATCTTAGTACTCCAATCATACTACTTTTGTCACTAATTTGTCTGCCACTCCCAATGACGGGGAGACTGTTCCCTTGTGAGTATTGCTTTACCCAGGATCCTGGCACTGAACATGAAAGAAAAAAAGACACTCATCAGTGGGGGGAAAAAAAGGAATTAAACATGAAAGGAAGATACAAAAGATGGTCAGAGAGAGGAAAAGGAAACCCATATACAAAGACAGAAAAAGGGTCAGAAGATAATAATAATCTTCCAAAGAACAGCATCTCTATCTTTGTGACCCTCTAAAACCTTTTAAAGCCAGATTTCCTTTTAAAATAATAAGTTTAAGTTGGAATAGAACTCTAATTGTTTATATAGCAGGATAGACAAGATAAGGGTAGAATTTGGATTTTTTTCACAAACCAGAAATTCTCTGAGATTTAGATAATAATATTTTTGAAGTGCCTTTCAAACTGAAGAAATAAAATCTGCTTTGGATATTAAGAAGTTAACTTTCTTTTACAAATACATGTGAGAAATAAAGAACAAAAACATTGTTCTGTTAAAAAAAAGTTGAATAAACAAGGACGGAATAAGTGTGCTGTTTAGAGGTAATATGTAAAAAATAAAGTGAATTTGTAATTGATTTGTTAGTCAAGGCTAAAAATTAATCAGTATTTATCTATACAATGGCATCTAAATTTTGGCAGGTAAGATTTCTCTGTTTATCATTCATACTTTTGAGCAGCTGAATTTTAACATTTTTTTTCCTAAAGAAACATGTTTTAAATTTAAATGTATGTTTCAAGTACTCAAGAATTATATACTGTTTTTTTAATCCCCAACTCTAAAATACCTGCTTCTCATCATCCCTAACTAAACTTTGTTGTTCTCCTTTCAGAGACTAGAAAATATTCTAATGAACAAACATTGGATTTCTAATATCATTACCCAGAGACACATTTGGGGAATCCCATTTCTATTAAACCCTAATATATTTTTTCTCTTCATGCCTGTAGAAAGATACTCCCTCTACCTTAAATCCTCCAGTATTGATAACTGTCTACCTTAAATCCTCCAGTATTGATAACTGTGTGAGCAGGAAACAGTAAAACTAATTCAGAAAACCTGCATGTGTGACTGTCCATTCTCTGGAACTAGTCTATCTTTCTAACTCATATACCTGACTCTTTCATCAGTAGGAAATAAAAGTTCTATCTCGATTATAAGCATAAGATAAAAATATAAGTATAGAAAATAGACCTAAGAATTTTTAAATTAGAAAGAGCAAATAACTCTCAATTTTCTAGTTGAAATTTATTTCCCCCCTTAAAGATCCTAAGCTTAGACTATAAATATAATTTAAAGATATTGCTTTTATTAGCTAACATTTTAGGAATCTATTGCATCTTGACTCATAATAAATACCTGAAATTACTTGAGGGTGCTTCTTTGCACAGTAACATTTTCTTATATCTGTAATAGACACACTTCCAGTTTTGTTGAAATCCAGTTTCATAAATGCCTAAATAGAGAAATGTTCATTTTTTTCTATGGCTTAATTTCTTATTTTCAGTAAGTTATTTCTGAGCTCTAAACAAGACAATTTCAAAGTACTTAACTGATACATAAGGAAAGCATCATGAATACAAGGAAACAAACACAGGAGCAAGATAATTAGGAAAATGGCACCTAAGTATTGGTTTATTAGGAAAATGGCACCTAAGTATTAGTTCTACCACTTTCTAGTATTTTGACCTTGAGACAGTACCTAAGATATAAGTTATCTGCTTCCAAATTCCAGTTGTAGAATAGGCCTACAGTGGACATTTCTATTCCAAAAAGGAAAATTGGAGGGAAAGAAGTCATAGGTAACAAGCAAATCCAAAACCCAGCAAGGCATTGGATCCCAAGGCTTGAAAACAATGGTCCCAGACTCTGGACTCTGGACAGTGGAAAGACAGAGTCACACACAGGGAGAAGGTGCTATGTGAAGGTGAAGCAAAGGAACACTAAGGATTGCAATCATTAGAAGTTAGAAGAGAGACATGAACAGTTCCTCCCTCAAAAACCTCCAAAAGAATCAACATAGCTGATACCCTGATTTAAACTTCTAGTCTCCAGAACTATGAGAAAACAAATCTGTGTTCTTTCTACCCACTTTGTGGCATTTTGTTATGGCAGCTCTAGGAAATTAAGGTGGATATTCAAACCTATCATCAAGAGATGTGTAGTACAAATGAATGCAAATTGGTAAATAGTATGTAATGAATTTATTTACTTTAATGTTTTCTTGGACAGTTAAGATAGGGATTTTGATTTTTCTACTTGAGATTTATACCTGATATGATTGTTTATACAATTCTATAAAAATATCTTTGTTTCAATATTAGATACATATATATTTTGTATTATATATATATATATATATATATATATATAGTGCCATATATATGTATATATATATGAGAAAAAGATAAAGAAAACTATATTGCTCAAAAATATACTATAAAAAAATAAATACTAAGACCCAAGTAATATATAGTTTCCCTTAAAAATAAGTGATTTTGTCTTAATTCCAATTTAATATGGTCATTTTAATCTTCTCTTTCATATGCAGCATGCATATTACGAAAATCAAAGCAACATTTTTAAATCATTATCACAAAATTAAGAAGTCCTAGTGGCATAATAGTCAAGTGCTTGGCTGCTAACCCAAAAGGTAGTATTTTGAATCCACTCAGAGGATCCATGGGGGAAAGATCAGATGAACTGCTCCTGTAAAGATTCCAGCCTAGAAAACCATGAGGAATAGTTCTACTTTGTCATATGGAGTCATAATGAGTTAAAATTGACTCATAGCCCTAGGCAACTAACAACAACAGTACTAACATTGAGCATATAGAACAATACTAACAATACTAACATTGAGCATTGACAATGGATCTCTGGAGGCATAGTCCCTAAGGCATTTGACTGCTAACCAGAAGGTTGGTAGTTCAAATCTACCAGCCACTCCATGGAAGGATTATGGGGCAATCTACTTCAGTAGTGATACCGCCTCAGAAACCCAAACAGGGTTGCTATGAGTTGGAATTGATTCGATGGCAGTTAGTTTTTTTTTTTATTTGGATCATTGACACTAGAATAGCCACAAAGCTAAAAATTTTACATGTATCATCTCATTCAATCCACCACCAACTCTGTAAAATAGGAAATGAAGGCTTGGAATATTTAATAATGTCGTCATACAGCTAGTAATGTTGGACCAAGTAATTTGTGAACCAAAGTTTAATTTCAGATTTTATTTTCCTTTCATAATATTTTCCTAAATCATATACATACATTATTTTATTTATACCTTGCCTAAAGCATACCTTACAGGTAAAAAGATTTAAACATTCTAAATGATAATTTAATAGAGTTTTTAAGTAAAGAGCCTAAGAATCTATTAAAAGTAACAGTTTAAAAGATTATTTAACAAAGTTACCTTTCGAACAAATGATTTCCTATACTCATTCATTTCACCAGTAATGGCACGTTTGAATTCTCCATAATCAACCTTGCCACTGCCACAGCCATTCAGAATTAGCCATAAGGACTCAAAATCCTGGAAACAATTACACAGAGATCACTGCACACCTTTAATGTATATGTGGTCAGAACGAAATCATCATAGAGGTATTTTGTTACATCCTTTATAGGCAACAAAGGAAATTTCAAGAAGTCACATAAAAATCTAATCATATTGCAAAGTTACTAAGAGAACTATTTAAAAGAGGTCTTGATAAACAGTTCTGGAAAGTTAAGAACAATTTAGGAGTGACAATAAGTTATATATACATTTATCTAAGTTCAATTCCTTTTACAAAGGTATGCTTACCACTCTGAGTCGAATATTTACTTTCTATTATTATTATGTCTGTGACAATTCAAAAGTCATTTCAGGTTCTGGAATGTCCCCAGAGAGCATTATGACCACTAACTGTATTTCTGTTAGTCTGTGCATAGAAGATTTGAACGACTTCAATACTAGCCCATAATTTACACTGTGAGGTTAGTTATGTTGAGTAAAATTCCTCACATCAGTTTGTTCACTTTACCATTGCCACTTACTTCTTTGACAATGTACTATTCACAGAGCTCCTGACAACCAAGAAATTCTAGTTTTATCTTGATTACCAATTATCTGTGTGATTGTGGACAAAGGCATGAAGACTTTCTACTTTTCTGTTGTTTTGCTGTTGTTATTGTTGTAGTTTTTGGATCTTTTTCCTATGAAATGAAGAGGCGAAACTAGATAATCCTTAGTGTTTGTCACTGTGTGGGCAACAAGATTCAACATAACATAAAACACAAAAGACAGGTATATTGACATTGGATATTGTAACTATATATGACATTGAATATTGTAACTATATATTAACTTGGGTCTTAGCATATTGACATTGAAGTTTAGTTCATAGGCATATTTCCAATAATTTTTCTCACTTGAGCCTCAAATCAATTCTAACTACAGGTACTATTTCTGTTTTGTGCAGGCAGAGTTTGCCAATCAGAAAAGTTAAGAGACCTGTCCAAGATCACATAGCTCAAGTAGTAAAGCTAGAACTTGAATGTGGCTCTCACAACTTCAAGTTCCAATATTCCTTCTGCATTGCATCTTATGACAGGATCTTTTGAAGAATAAGAGAACAATGCAAGAGAATCCCTAATCTGAAACCCTTGAGGCAGATGTGTTTCAAATTCATATACTTTTAGAGTAAAATCCAAACTTAGCATGCCATACAAAGCTTTAATACAATGGACCATGCTGACCCTTCCAGGCTTACTTCTTTTTCTTTCCTCCCCCTGTTCCTCCCTCTGCCCCTTTTTCCTTCCCTTTTTTTTTCCTTTGTTTCTTCTTTCCTTCCTTCTATTCATAATCTACTTATATTAATCTATTTAACCATTCATTCATTCAGATTAATCCATGGGTTACTTTTTTACTAGCTGCTGTATATCAGGCAGTGAGGCAGTTAAAACTCACTGCAGTGAGTGCAGTGGTTATAACACTCGATTGCCAACAGAAAGTTTGGCAGTTCTAACCCACTGGTTTGAATCCACTAGCTGTTAGGTGGCAGTCTACTTCCATAAGATTTACAGCCTCAGGAACCCTATGGGGCAGTGCTACTCTTGAGGTTGCTATGAGTCAGAGTCGACTCAATGACAGTGGGTTTGTTTGTTTTGGTATGCCACTCTCTGTTTAAGATGTTGGAGGTAGAACAGAACAGAAGCACAAAGTTCCTGCCCTAATGCGAATGACAGACAATACCTGCAGAAGTGTATACAAAGAAAATAAAATGGAAAAACAATGTAAAGAGAAGCAGGTGACAAAAGGGGGTGCTCCTTTAGACCGGAGTATCAGAGTAGCTCTCCAAGTGGAGAAGTCTGACCCGAATCAAGAGAAAACCAGACCATACAAGGACCTAGTGTAATATTAGTCATGGCAGAGTGAACAGTAGGCATGAAGGCTCAGCCATGGAAAAATGGACCATCCGCACTTCCTGGAACAGGCCACATGCTCTCTCCCCTCCATGCCTTCATATGTGCTTCTCCTGAAATATCCATTATCTGATTTATGCTTCTCCTCCTTCCTTGTCTGGTTAATTTCTGTTCATTCTTCAAAACTCAGCTTAGATGAAGCTTCTCTAGGAATCCTTCTATGATCTTCCCTCTCTTTCACCCATCACTTGGTTTAGGTACTTCTCCCATGTGTCCTCAAAGCATCCTTTATTTAACACATATCATATTTTCATAATCACTTATATATTTCTCTCCTTGGGTTATAATGAGCTTGAGAATACAGAATATATTTTGTCAGAGATTAGCGCAATACCTGGTTAGCAGAATCTTAATAAATATTTGATGAGGGAATAAATGTTGAAATTTAAAAAATTAACAGAACTTGCTGCCTAAGGATGTGACATTGAAAACAGAGGATAAAGAAGGCAACAATGAAGGAATGACAAAAATTTCAGGTAGAAAAGTGAATCCAAAAACAACCAAACCCACTGCCAACGAGTTGGATCCAACTCGTAGCGACCCCTCCTTGGCTTTCCGAGGCAGTGTCTCTATGGAAGTAGATTGCCAAATCTTCCTTCCAAGGAGTGGCTGGTGGGTTTGAACTGCCAGCCTCTTGGGTAGCAGTCAAATCTAAAAATATTATTTATTGCAGAGAATTATCTGTGGTACATACCTTTTCAGACACTTCTAAGTTAAAACGTTTTAGAGCTTGCTTACAATCAGCCTTGTCTAAAAATCCACTTCCTTCTTTGTCCAATTGTTGAAAGTATTTTCCCAGCCCAGTCAAAATGCGAACACCTCTTTTATGTAGTTTTACTTTTAGCACATCTGTTTAGCAAGAAGAGAGATGAAAAATAAATGTTCCTATGTACAAAGGTATCAAACTGCAGTTGTCCCTCTTGTAAGAAAATGAGTCAATGAAACAGGAAAGAAGAAAATCAACCAAGTCATGTATGACTGATGAAAGAGCTTGGAACAAAGAATGCCTTTATTACAGGGAACTATATATAAAAGTACACGCAAATATACCAGGATTATAGCACCACTGTGTGGTCAAAGTGTTATATTTTAAATCTAGGAAATAAAATGTTTCACTTTATCAGCATGAAAATAACCTAAGTGTTAGAAATAAAATCATACTTTTCATTTTCAAGGCTTCCCCTTCATCTAACCACTCATAGATCTTTAATCTTTTCCTTCGTTATCTGATGTTACCAACTAACGACAAAAATGATGCAAGGTAAGTCACTTAAAAATTATCAGTTTGAATTTTCTGAAATACTGAAATCTTCAAATTTAGAGCTTATAAATCTCAAGGCTTTGGAGTGATAATTTATATATCTAGAGTCACCCTTTAAGGGCTTATTTTCTCAGGTCTCTAGCATTGCTTGTATCTAAATTACTTTATTGAATGCAATTTGTACCACCTTGACTTCAGAAAATGGAGGTACCTTCACTAAAGTAGTTATTAGATATAATACAATTATATCTAATTAGAAGAAAGAAGAAGGAGCCCTGGGGGTGCAGTGGTAAAGTGCTTGGCTGCTAACCAAAAGGTCAGCAGTTTGAACCCACCAGCTGCTCCACAGGAGAAAGATGTGGCAGTGTGCTTCCATAAAGGTTACAGCCTTGAAAACCCTATGGGGCAGTTCTACTCCATCCTACAGAGTCAGTATGAGTCAGAATCAACTGGACAACAATCCGTTTTTGGTTCAGAGAAAGGAACAAACATAAACAATGTCACTAGATATGATTATACTCCAAAGTGCCACCTATTGTATTGACCATGATAGAAAAGAGGAAACTACTTACCAACAATAGCATCAAGAATATTTGGGAGTCAGGTAACTCTTCCAGCCAACTTTCAAATCTATTTCTAGTCTTCTTACTATGACTCCTTTTTCATGATTTAAGTGATAAATCAGGATTTATCAAAATTTCTAAATTATGTTGATTCTGTGATTAGTTCTGTGATGAATGCCTTTCTCCCTTCTAGACGATGAGATCCAAGAAAGAACTTGTCTATTTTGAACCTACCCATAGTGCTTACATACTTGGACTCCAGAAACAGACTGCCTGAGTTTTCCTTTTAGCTATAGCATGACTGTTATATATGACCTTGAGCAAGTTACTTAACTTTTTAAAGCCTCAGTATCTTCATCTGTAAAATAAGAAATAATTGTGCAGCATTATCCTAATATATATTGAATTGAATCTGGTATAGAGCAAATGCCCAATGAATGTCAATTATCATTATAATAATGCCACTACTGAACCCCCAGGGTCTGAAAGCATGCTTAATACATAAAATAGGCATAAAATTAGTAAATTGATATTATCAGCTAATGTGTATGTTCAGTGTGTTCAGGGATAATCATGTACCAGGAAATAAGTAAAAACACTCAATAAAACAAGAATCATAAATAAACACTGAAATATTTTCACATAATAGAGCATCTAATGGATATTCAGAGATTGAGGGGGGTATTTATATATGTTATTTTACTTGCAGGTATTGAGTAGAAAATATATATATATTTATATATTATATATATATATATATAAAATGTAACATGTTATATGTAATGTGTAACTACTTAATTATTAAGGGAGATTACTTCAGAATGGCAGCAACCTTAAATTCCACTCCTATTATGAGTGGGTCAAAATTTTGTCCCCATATTGTAATGAAAACCAATAGTTCTCTTTTTTAGGAAGGAGACATTCAATATACATGGTAATGCTTTACACTCAGTGGTAAATACCTGTAAATTGTAAAATGCTTTTAGTGTCCTGAAGTCTACACATATTTCCCACAAAAACCCTTGAAAGTCCTTAGATTAGGTTAATAGAATATTACTATTCTGATTTGAGAGATAAAAAGATACAAGACATTTGCACAAGGTCATAAATCTATTGATCAGGAGAATCAGAAGACGAATCTGGCTCCCAGTCCAGTACTCTTTTCTTTTACACTGTTGTTGTTGTTGTTGTTGTTTGCCGTCGAGTTACACTAGGCCACCACAAATACCTTTAGGATATCATCTAATATCACTATTATAAAAAAACATTTTTACTTTTTATCCAATTAATGTGTACTCAAAACTCACTGCCGTGGAGTCAATTTTGACTCATAGCGACCCCTCCTTGGGTTTCCAAAGCAGTATCACTATGGAAGTAGATTGCCCAACATTCCGTCCAAGGAGTGGCTGGTGGGTTTGAACTGCCAGCCTTTTGGTTAGCAGTCAAATGCCTTAGGCACTACACCACCAGAGCTCCCAATTAATGTGTGTTGTTGTTGTTGTTGTTATGTGCCATTGAATCAGACCTGACTCATAGAGACCCCTCCTTGGGTTTCCGAGGTGGTATCACTACAGAAGTAGATTGCCCAACCTTCCTTCCAAGGAGTGGGAGGTGGATTTGAACCACCAGCCTTCTGGTTAGCAGTCAAGTGCCTTAAGACTATGCTACCAGCACTCCTAATTAATGGGTACAACCCATATTTTCTAGTAATTTCTAAAATTCTTAAACTTATAATTCATATAATACTAGTATTCAGTTAGACAGGACTGTTAAGGTAGGAAAACTTCAAAATTGTTAACATACGTATTTTTAATTTTAAAAAGATAGGAAAAATAAGTCAAATGCCATAAAGTTGAGAAATACCTGGAAATGGTGCTTTGTTGCTTATAAAGAAAATGGCTGAAAACTAAAACCACTTAAGAATATAGTAATAATTCATACCTTGAATGGCCTTGAGGACCAGTCTATCATTGGCTTCTTGATTAGTTACATCATCCACATGTTCCTCAGAAGCAGTTCTGCAATTGATATGTTCACAGTGGTAAACATATATTCTCTTTTGCAATCTCAGATGCAGAAACTAAATTCTTCCTGTTTCACACTCAAAGAAATCTCCAACAGTTGGAGGAAATGCTTAGAGATTAATTAAGTCCACCTCCACCTGCTGCTTTAATACCCAGGGGGATTAAATATGCTACCAGAGCTAATGTCCTTAAAATCTTCCAAAAGCTACATTTAAATTTTATATACATGTTTTTAGCCATTCCAAGCAAGCCTTGGTGGTGCAGTGGTTAAGCACTTGGCTACCAACTAAAAGGTTAGTGGTTCAACCCACCAGCCACTCCATGGGGGAAAGATGTGGCAGCCTACTTCTGTAAAGATTAGAAACCCTACAGGGCAGTTCTACTTGGTCCTACAGAGTTACTATGACTCAAAATCAACTCAGTGGCAATGGGTAACAGGGTAACATACTTTTAGTACACATATCATTGTCATTCTGAATTATATTTAGAAATAAAAAAACACTGATTAAAATTGAAAGTGATTTAAGTGCATAATTTGAGTCATGTTGTTGTTGTTGTTGTTATGGCCCTCGAGTCGGACCTGACTCATAGCGACCCCTCCTTGGGTTTCCAAGGCGATAGCACTATGGAAGTAGATTGCCCAACCTTCCTTCCAAGGAGTGGCTGGGGGGTTTGAACCACCAGCCTTCTGGTTAGCAGTCAAGTGCCTTAGGCAGTGCACTACCAGACCTCCTATTTTGAGTCACGCATTATTATTATGAGTATAAGCAATCATTGAATACTGCAATCAAGGGGGACCAAGATAATTTTCATGTTTTTCTTTTTTTATTTTTTTCCAAAAAGTATTCCTCTAACAATGTGGGAAAAATTATTTTAATATTATATGGATTTCCATATTTTGGAATATGGAATAGTGCCTAAGGCATTTGACTGCTTACCAGAAGGCTGGCAGATCAAACCCATCAGCCACTCCTCGGAGGGAAGACTAGGCAATCTACTTCCATAGAGATACCACTTTGGAAACCTAAGGAGGGGTCGGTATGAGTCAGAATCAACTGGACAGCAGTGAGTAGTCCATATTTTAAAATTTCTTGTTTTGATAACACATGGTAAAATAAAAATGTTATAGCAAAGATACATGAATAAATCTCCTTTAATCAACTAAAAAATGGAAAATTATTTAATCTTTAATTAATTGCAATTGTTACCACATGTGAAGTGTATTAACTACAAGATAATATGCAAAATATACACACACAGTGTGCTTTGGTTTTAAAAAATATAATGCTTAATTACTGTCAAAATGCTTTGAGGTCAAATCTCATTTTAACCTAATTTTAAGCTCAGTGTTTTCACTTAATAAAATATAGTGTTTCCACTTACTTTCAAAATGATAAATTCATGTTTGACTTACTTGAGAGAATCCAAAGCTATCCGGTCAATATTTGTGATTCGAAGTGTAAGTAATTTGTTTTCTTTTATGCTTTCCGGAAGGCTAGGATGATCAGAACTCAAAAATGTCAAATTTGCACCCTAAAGAAGTAGGCAGAGAAATTATTTAAACCTAGAGAATATGCAAGTAGTAAAGTCTCATTAATACTGATTTAAAATATTCATTACCGATTATATGTGACGTACCCAAAAAACCCAAACCAAACTCATTGCCATAGAGTTAATTCTGACTCACAGTGACCCCCATAGGGTTTCTAAGCTATAAATCTTTAAGGAAGCCTCATCTTACACCCACAGAGCACCTGGTGGATTTGAACTGCCGACCTTTTGGTTAGCAGCCAAATGCCTTAAAGACTGCACCACAAGAGCTTTTTTTATGTGCTATAATACTTTTTATAATGATAAAAAGTATATTTAAGAATAATATTTGGAAAGCACACAAGCTTCAGTTAATCCTGTAGGAAAATAATCTCCTAATCAGTCTCTCAATTACAACAATCTCATAATTAATGAGTTATGTAAAAAAAAAAAAAAAAAGGAACTCAGATTTTTTTTAAGGAAGTTTCATTTATTCTAGGGCAAACTCAGAAGGTTTTTTTTTTTGTTGTTATTGGTTTTCTTTTTTAGCAAATTCTAGCACATTAACAAAAAACTGTACATTTGCCATGATACATCTGAGAGTGAAACAAATAAGATACAAATACAGATATGGATATAAGATGAAAAAGCCAAAACAAAAAACAAAAACAACCTAGGTATGGGGTCATGCATGTGAATATGGTGCAAACAGAACTGTTTTGGTGACGATATTTTTCAGAGTATTTCTCAGATTTTTTTTTAATGGTGAAATCAGTTTTCCATTAAACAATTCATATGGTTTGTTTCATGACATTGACTGCCATCCCCACAATATAACAGCACTCTTCCCATTTCCTCCCTGTGTTTATCATTTCCATGTGTCCTTCTTTTCTATCCCTTCTTGCCTTCTAAGCTTCATCCCTGGGCAAATGCTATCCTTTTGATCTCATATAGTTCATTATTCTAAGGAGTCTGGTATTACTATTCACCTTATAGGCCTGTCAACTATTTGGCTGAAAGTTAAGCCATTGGGGGTGAGCTCAGTTCCAGGCTTGAAGGATGTCTAAGGTTTCTGGTCTTGAGGGTTCCACCTGTCTCTATCAAACTATTAAGGCTGATCTTTTTTTTTATGATTTTGAATCTTGTTCCCCATTTTTCTCCCACTCTATCCAGGACCAACTACTGTGATCCCTTTCAGAATGGTTAGCGGTGGTAGCTGGGAACCATCTAGTTCTGAAAGTCTTAGGGTCATGGAGACTGGGGTTCTCATGGTCCATTAGTCCTTTGAACTAATTGTTTCCATCTATCTTTGATTTTATTCATTCTTCTCTGCTCCAGATGGGAAGAAACCAATACTTGTACCTTACATGGCTGCTCACAAGCTTTTAAGACCCCAAACACTACTCACCAAAGTAGGATGTAGAACACTGTCTTGTGGATTATGTTTTACCAACTTTATATGGAAAAGAAAGAGATCCTTGATTAAAAAAAAAAAAAAAAACACTCCCAAAGGAGAACAAAGTAGGAAGCCTCATACTTCCTGATCTAAAAACCTACTATACAATGACAGACACATAGGCCAGTGGAACAGAATCTGAGAATCCAGAAATTAATCCATCCACCTATAGACAGCTGATCACTGGCAAAAGGCCAAAACCCATTAAATAAGGAAGAAACAGTCTCTTTAACAAATGGTACTGACAAAACAGGATAGCTACTTGCAGAAAAATGAAACAGGATCCATATTTCTTACCATACACAAAAACAAACTCAAAATGGACCAAAGCCCTAAATGTAAAACCTAAAAATATAAAAATCATCAAAGAAAAAATAGGGGGCAAACTTAGGGCCCTAATACATGGCATAAATATACTATCAAACATAACTAAAAATGCACAAACAGGAGATGACAACATAGATGACCAGGACCTCCTAAAAATTAAACATGTATGTTCATCCAAAGACTCCACTAAAAGGGTAAAAATAGAACCTAGAGACTGGGAAAAAAATTTGGCAATGACTTATTAGACAAGGGACTAATCTCTAAAATTTATAGAAAACTTAAACACATCAACAACAAAAAGCACACAATCCAACTGAAAAATGAGCAGAGGACATGAACAGACACTTCACCAAGGATGTTCTGGCAGCCAACCAACACATAAAGCAATCCTCACATCATTAGCCATTGGAAAGATGCAAAACCAAATAACAATGAGACAGCATCTCACCCCAGCCTTAATAGCAAATTTCAACAAAAAGAAAACAAACTCCGTCAAAAGTGTGGAGAGACTGGAACCTTCATACACTGCTGGTGGGACTCTGTAATGGTGTAATCACTATGGAAAATAGTGTAGAACTTCCTTAAAAAGCTGGAAATAGAAATATTATATGATCTAGCAATCCCACTACTATGGATATATCCTAGAGAAATAAGAGCCATGACATGAACAGATACATGCACATCCATGTTCATCACTGTATTATTCACAGTAGCAAAAAAGATAGAAATATCCTAAGAGTGTATCAATGGATTAATGGATAAACAAACTATAATACATACACACAATGGAATACTACACAACGTTAAAGAATAATGATGAATTTGAAAAACACCTCATAATATGGATGCACCTAGAGGAGATTATGCTCAGTGCAATTAGTCAATCACAAAAGGAAACTAAGATTTTAAAATAATAATTAGACAAAGAAAGGACAAATGAGTGCAACCTAATTCATGACATCCCTAAACACAGAAATAGAGCTACTGATTCACAAAAGGGTATATTGTGAGTTGATGAACTGTGATACACTCTTTCACCTGGTCGTTTGATGACAAATATCACATAAACATTTAAAAAAAAAATCTATTTTTAACCTAATTAGAGAATCAAGCCTTCAATAACAAAATTCCTATCAAAAACCTTAAGTTAAACTTGTTGTTGTTGATGTGCCGTCAAGTCGGACCCAATTCATAGCGACCCCTCCTTGGGTTTCCGAGGCGGTATCACTGTGGAAGTAGATTGCCCAACCTTCCACGGAGTGGGTGGTGGATTTGAACCACCAGCCTTCTGGTTAGCAGTCAAGTGCCTTAGGAATTACGTTACCAGAGCTCACAAGTTAAACTTAGAAAACTATTGTTTTAATCATTGGGTTAACAAATAGATATAGTTTATCATTGAGAATTACTTAAAATATTTTTCAACTAAGAAAGCAGGAAGCATTGAGGCAGCACTTGCCAGCTAAGGTGGCAGAAGGGTTGGTTCCACATCTGCCGAGCTAAAGACAGCAGCTGCATGAGTTTGAGGATATGCAGAGCTCCCTGGCTCATAGCTCCACCTTTAAGAAGCTTCCCCTTTCTCTCAGTGTGCTGTACAATATTTTCATTTCTATAAAAATGACTGGGAAGAAGATTGGGAAGCTCACTGAAGATCTATTGCCTGTTAATTTTAACACTAATAACTTTCTAATGGTTAGTTTAAAAGATTTCCTATACTAGATCTAGAGGAGCTCTGCTGGTGCAGTACCTAGGGCATCTGACTACTAACCAGGAGGTTGGTGGTTCAAACCTACCAGCTGCTCCATGGAAGGAAAATGGGGCAATCTACTTCTGTAAAGATTTACCACCTCAGAAACCCAAGTGGGGTCACTATGAGGTGGAAATGACTCAATGGCAGTGAGCTGATACTAAGTCTGTAAGTCAAATTGTTACTGTAATTAATATCCGAACTTGAGACTGTAAGTAAGTCAAGGCAGAATCATTAAAATATGGTAGATGGCACAAAGCTTTGAGGCCTAGTATATTACAATGTTTTTCTACTTTAAACAGAAACATAAGTATATTATGTATGTAAGCATGTATTAATGGCACCAAACAGTTGAAAAAATATCAATATACAATTGAAAAGAGTACAAAGCTACCCCAAATTAGGTAGATTTATATTTGTAATCAAAATCAGGTGGATTACAAAGAGAAAGTTAGGGTAGATTAGCTGTTTACACATATTCATGGAAATGAACACAATAACTTATCAAACATTAAACTTCATAGCTTGTAGAAAAATAACTGCAGAGTTACTTTTTCCAGATTCCCTTCTAAATCACAGACCTGCTCACACCACCACCTCTCATCCTGCCCCCACCCCATCCTTCAATGACTCCCCAGTATATTTCATATAACTCCTTAACGTAAGGTTGCTCTTAATCAGGAACCAATTTACTGCTTCAAATTCATTTCTTCCCAACCTCCATTCTGAACTCTACACACTGGCCAAACTTTCAGTTTTTCAAATAAGCCATGTTCTTTCTTGCTCTTTTCTTTGTACAAATTGTTGCTTCCACTGGGAAGACTTTTCCCTACCCTCACCTATCTCCCTGTCCCAGCTGAGCTAAATCCTACTGTCTTTATAGGCTTAGGTTAGAAGGTTCTTTCTCCAGGAAGCCTCCCTTGATCCCACAAAATTTCCTGTATTATCCTTCCACTGTGGCCTAATGTTATGTACTATCATAGCAAGTCACATCGTCATGGAAATCCTTATTTACATGACTGTGTTTCTCACTAAACTGCAAAACACCAGTTGCTGTCAAATCCATTCTACCTCATGTGTGTCAGAGTAGAACTGTGCTCCATACAATTTTGAATCACTGACTTTGAGAAGTAGAGGACCAGGCCTCTCTCCAAGGTGCATCTGGGTAGACTCAAACCTCCATTCCTTCAGTTAGCAGAAGTACATGGTGACCATTTGCACCACCCAGGGACTCCCACTGGACTGTAAACTCCATAAAAGTAGAGAATGAAAATAACTTATTCATTATCTCTAGTGCTAGTCTATGAATATATGTTAGATTAATGATTGCTGTGGATAATGTTGCATTTACCCATGAGATAACACATGAATATGATTATGTTAGATTTAAAAGAACTATAGAAACTGTAGGAACCCTGGTAACACAATGGTTAAGTGCTCGGCTACTGACCAAAATGTTGTCAGTTCTAATCCATGAGATACTCCATGGGAGAAAGATTTAGTAGTGCTTCCATTAAGATTTATAGGCTTTGAAACTCTATGAGGCAGTTTTACCCTGTTCTATAAGGATGTCTGGTGAATAAGAAGGTTGGTGGTTCAAATCCACCAGCTACTCATGGAAAGAAGACAGGGCAATCTACTTCCATAAAGATTTACCAGCTTGGAAACCCAGTGAGGGACAATATGAGTTGGAATCGACTCAAAGGCAGTGGGTTTGGGTTTGATTTGAGTAGGGCTGATGGTGTAGGGGTTAAGAAATTTGGCTGCTAACCAAAAGGTGAGTGGGTTTGAACCCATCAGTTGCTCTGAGGAAGAAAGATGAGACAATCTGCTTCTGTAAAGATTTATAGCCTTGGAAACCCATTGGGGGTCACTATGCATTGGAATTGACTCAACGGCAGTGAGTTTGGGGTTTAGATAGGGTTGTTATGAGTCGGAATTGACTTGACAGCAAGAGGTTTATACAACCTGCAATGAGCTGTAATAAAGAAATTCATAAAGCCTTTTTGACCAAAACTCAGTTTGTGCTGAATTAAACTGTTATTTCACTCATCTGCCTGCCTGGGAATTTTGTTTGCCCAATTGCAGTCAACACCTCCCCCTTTTACAAGTCTTGTTATCTGGCTATGTTAATTGCTATAAGCTATAAAAACTAAGAAGTAATTTCACCAGGATGTGAAAGAATTACACTCTAAAGGAAGGGAATCTTGACACAGCTATCTTTTGTATAAGTATGCCAAGGAAATATTTCTTCATGACCAAGATGTAATAAAGAGAATTGCTTGAAAGGGTTTTGGAGCTGGCCTTATCTAAAGTTTCTCAGAGCACTAGAAAGATTTTTGTTTAACAAGCTGTTTTGGGGAACTGAGGTCCTGGTACAAAGATGAGCTTTCACATATTCCTGAGCCACCTGGTTAAAACTTTGTAAACATCTACTAGTGATATTTTATGATCACACGTGTTATTGATTGAAAAAGCTCTGTAATTAGTTCCTGAAATCAATCACTATAATCCTCTATATGCAATTATCCAATAGAAGCCCATTCTCCACCTCTTACCCATCCTCCTTGTGACCTCAACCAAAGATTTAACCAATCAAATGACTGTATTATAATGTCTTTGTTCCCCAGACTGCACCTGTCTTTGTTAGAAGATTTTACTTGGTGTCATCAGTTCTCACTTATGTGGGCTGTTGCATCCCTGCATCCAGATATATTGTTTTTCCTTTTTCTGAACAAATCCTCTTAATTTCATTTTAAGTACTGAGTGGTTTTTTTCTCTCTACAGCAGGATTCAGACTCACCCTTGGAAAATATCAGCAAGAAAGGGGGAAGAAAGTAACAATGCCTATGATTAGCCCATTCTAAGGAATGCTTGTGAGACACCATTTGCCAGGAGTTGTCCCAAATTGTTAAATTGAAAGGAGCATGGGCTTACTATCAGATATATGACATATCCAGAAGCCAAATACCCCTTTGTATGAAGGAAACCATGCATCTTCAGAGGATAAGCCTGTGTTAGGGAGGCATTCCTCCTGGAGGTACTGAGGTAACCACTTGCTCAATAGTATAGGCTTATAAATCTTTGAAAAGTACTAAGAGACAAACTCTTGTGGAGGCTACCCACATGTGGAATTGTGGGGAGGGGTAGAGGAAGACAGGGAATAAATGTCATGGCTTAGATTCATATCATTAAGGGAATCTGTGCCTGAAGGCAGAACCTCCTATCCTAGAGAACTTCAACCATTAGTCATTCACACAAAAGCCCCTGCCCAGTAAGTTGGAGAGGAAATAAATGGGAGACTAGAGACTAGAAATCTTGTTTCTCTGCTCCCGCAGGATTCTCCTAAAATCTAACACCTGATGTTAAAGCATGTGTGCATGCACATACAGACTTAACTTACAATATAAAAATCACCAAGTTGGTATTGTTTTCCTTTTCTTCGTCCATGTTGATGACTATAAATGTTTTTTTGAATAAAAGGAAGCACATTTGACCTAGAAGTTAAATAATTAAAAAAAAAAAAAAAAGTAAAGTTATTCAGCTTTTGTCCAAAGCAATCATCTTGAGAGTTCTAACAATATTTTGTGGCATACCTATTTTTCCCAAATTGCCGATATTCATAAATAGTAAGGGACTGGTCATGAGTAAAAAAGAATCCAATCAACTCTCTACAAGTATCATGCCCATTTCTAGAAAAATAAAAAGACATCAGAGATTTTCAAGTAACAGAATCATTTCAAAAGAAATAATAATAATTAAAATTGTACTCCTCAAAGAGGTCTAGTATAATTCCTTCAAGTATGGCAATGAGCAAAGATTATAGAAAGCCACAGGGAAAACACAGTATAATTGGCTGAAGTATCCATTTAATTTAGATGTGGATGGAAGAAAAAACTTTATCTTATACTGACATGAATATGAATGTGTTACTTTGTAGGTTACTAATTAGACATAGATTTTTTAAGTCTTCTCTTTTCAGGTAGAAATAATGAGATTAGGTAAATTTGTCCCATTTAAATTAAATTGTGAATTTAGAACAAACATTTTTATGTAATAGATATTGACTTAACTCATTCCAAGTATTATAGGAAACATCTCTTAAAGAGAAACTGAGAAGTGGTTAAAAAAATCTTCATTCCAAAAAAATCTTGAACTTTGACCAAGCCACTCAGGGATATATATTTATTGTCTCCTATTGTCATAGAAAGGAACTCTGGTGGTGTAGTTTAAAAACATTGAATAAATATGTTAACAAAAAGAGAAAAAATACACTTTACTAGTAATAGCACATGAAGAACATCAAGTAGTATTACGTACTGCTGAAAGTTTACAAGACAAGGATAACATTTAAGAATTGGTCCCCTTCTTAATTTACTGCAACCATCAATAATCTACTATTAACCTAATTAAAATGAAACTAAATAAAATGGCTTACATAAAAGATAATGGTTAATGGTTTAGAATCTCCTAGTAGTAATACATGCCTTTTTGAAAAATCACATCTAAGTTTCTGAACAGAGAAGATATTTTTATAATCATAAGATTAAAAAGTTTCATAAAATCATACTGACCTTGATATGATTCTACAATCAAATTGTAATTTATTGGAAAGCACATTTTCAGTTAATGTAGAATGGGTTCTTATCCTGTTAAGAAATATATTTTGTTAATAATTACATATAAAATAAGTATCTATGTCTTATCTAAAGGATAAAAATACAAAAAAAAGAGTTACATTAATATTTTGTCTAAGGAATTTGTTATGTTCTGAAACAAGGGACTACTTGGATAAAGGTGAAGGTATAAGCCTCTCTTTTTCTTTCAGATTTTATATGATAGCAGACTAGCAGACAAAGGAAATAACCTTGAGATATATTATATAGTACATGAATGATTTTTATGTAAGAACCTACAGTATCAAAGTGCTATAAAAATAAATATTAAACAGAGGTAGCACGTTTGTGATACTGGATAGCACTGTAACCATAAGAGAAAGGCCAATAAAATCTCAGAAAAGCTAGCCCAGAGCTGGGATATCACTGAGCCATGGAACAAAAACCAAATACTGCCTATTCCCAGGCAGCTAGTCATATAAGAAAAATAAACCTTGACTTGTTTAAATGACTGTCAATCAGGTTTTCAGTTGGTGTAGCTGAAAATTGTCCTTACTAAAATAACAAAATAGTACATAAGAGTTCTAGATAACGTTCCAGTACTGGCATAGGTATAACTAGCTGGAAGACCTCAGATAGTTATTTAATCTTTATGGTCTTCAGGTAACACTGAATGACAGCACAAAGAATCCCAGTCATAAAATTCTGCTTGACAGGATGGGTGGGCCAAGACCCAAAGTGAACACTTTGGTAACCTGCTACTAATATTCTCCTTCATATTAAGAGGATTCAATGTTGGACTTTTGTCTCCCCTTGTCAAATAATTTTATGGTACTCCCATAAAACTGCAAGTATAATGAAATTGCAATGATATAAAGAGTGAGAGAAAGGAGCCCGGAGGTGGTACAATGGTTACATGGTTCACACCCACTAGCTGCTTCTGTAAAGATTTAAACCCTGTGCAGCAGTTTTCTTCTGTCTTATAGGGTCATTATGAGTCAGAATCGACTTAACGGCAATGGGGATTAAAGAGTAAGAATTATGTAGGTCACTGTGTACCTCTATAAAAAGCTATGTCTCAGCAAAAGGCAAGTAGGACACAGGGTGACCAAATGAGAGTCTGTGGACACAGGGAGTCTTGAAAGCTTAGCATCTCAATTCAATTTAATTTATTGGTATCAGTTTATTGTTTCTTTCAAGAAATATTTCCTTAATGTCTACTGCATGCCTGGAAAAATGCTGACAAAATAACCACAACAATAACAGCCACCATTTATTGAGAACTTCCTAAGCATTAGTCTTTGTTAAGTACTTTATGTGTACTGGCTCATTTAATTCTTGCAATAATTCTACAGGTAACTACTACCACCCTCATTTTACAAATAAATTTTACAGAAGCAGAGAGAAGTTAAGTAACTTGCTCAAGACCATAAAACTAGCACATAGCAGAGGCAGGATAATCCTTGCTCTTAGACATTACATTGTATCACTTCTCAGTGATGAATAGAACTCAGTTTAACAATGACGAATTGAATCGATTGCATTAAGGAGCCAAGTGTCTCCATGAAAAGATAAAATCAGTAAACCAGCAATCCTACTATAACATGGAAAGTGCCATGTTGGGGGTTTAAGTGACCATAAATAGTACCAATACGTCTCTCTATCCAAGTTCTTAACCAGTACAGAAACAAGGGATGAAGTCCAAAATATGAGTTTTGTTATTAATAAAGCTGTTGAAAAACACAGCTCAGGTATGCAGCCATAATAAGCTAAATCCTTAACACTAAAACTAAACAGGCTAACTCATTCATTCTCAGGGAGGAGAACCAAAAACCAAACTCACTGCCATTGAGTCTATTCCAACTCATAGAGACCCCAGTTGGGCTTCCGAGGCTGTAAATTTTTATGGAAGTAGATTCCCCATCTTCCTTCCACGGAGTGGCTGGTGGGTTTGAACCACTGACCTTCTAGTTAGCAGCCAAATATCTTATCCATTATGCCACCAGAGCTCCTTGTCATGGAGGAGAGAGTTATAAAGCTTAATGCATAGAGCAGATTATGGGCTTCTGCAAGCAGTTAGCTCCCAAGAAAAGGAGAGATGATGTACTGGGCTATAAATGCCAGTTATTACTTTGAACTTTAAAAATCAGAACACTTTCCTTCTCCTTTGTGAATAATGAATGAGAAAGATGGGACTCATAAATTCAGTAATTCTAATCAATAACTCTGTAGGATTAAACTAGATAAATCTGAAATTTATACTGAAAAGAAAAGGGCCTGATATGCCAATACAATATGGAAGGTAAATAATACAGTTCAAGTTTATTATACTGCAAAACTATACTAATTATATCAGGGTAATATAGGTGCAGGTATACATAACAGGTAAATGAGACTGAAAAGAAAGTCAAAAAATTGATCATGCATCTATGGCAAGTTGATATATGACAAATGTAGCATTTTAATAACAGAAAATAAGAATGATATCAAGAATGATTTTGTAGCAGGCAAAGATTTATTAAAGAGGATACAACAGACACTAACCATAGAGAAGAAAATTGGTAAGCTGGTATATATTAAAATTAGACCAGTTTAAATAAGGTCCACAAATCAACAAAATGAAAGGCAACTCAACAAACTTGAAAAGATATTTCTACATGGTCAGTAAACATACAGAAAATGTTGAACACTTCATTAGTGACCAGTGAAATGCAAATTGAAATCACAGTTGGATATCAATACACACCCATAAAAGGAGCTAAAATGGGAAATATAGACAATACCAAGCAATGGCAAAGATGTGATGCAACTCTTATATACAACTGGTGGGAATATAAACTGGTACAACCACTTTGTAAAAACTATTTGGCAGTATCTTTTAAAGCTAAATATATGCATACTAAATAATCACGTATAGAAATGAGTGTTTATGTTGAACAAATGACATGCAAAAGAAAGTTCAGGGCAGGGCTACTCATAAATAGTCAAATGTCATCAACATCTGTGGATATAAATTGTGGAATATTTATAATGAAACAGTGTGCAGCTGTGAGAACAAAGACAACTACAAATAACAACCTGGATAAGACGCATAAATACAATGTTAAACAAAAGAAACTAGCCACAAAGAATGTATATTCTATGAGTTCATTTATATATTTTTCAAACCAGCCAGCACCAATCTGTGGTGTCAGGATAGAGAGATTAACCTGGAGTGGAATGTGGTTAGTAACAAGGAGGTGGTACGTGGGAGCTGGGATTGTTCTATTTCTGGATCTAGTAGTTGGTCACATGGGTGCATTCAGTATGTGAAAATTCCTTAAACTATACACTTAAAATATGTACACTTTCCTGAATGTTATTACTTAAAAAAAAAAAAAAGGAAAGTTTGAATGCCCTCAAATATTTAAAGGTTGAGAACAAAAGCTTCTAGAAACTAAGGATGAACACAAGGAATAAAAAGTTTTAAGAAAGTACTATTTAGCAAGCACTGCAATCTGAAAATAAAAAGAGCTCCTGAAGAAACTGGTAGATCTTCCATCTCTCTTAAAGCGCTGGCTAGATGTCAACTCTCAGTGAGTCTAATAAGGAATTCAAGTGAACTGGACTATAAAACTGTGAAAGATTTTACAAGTCCCAAAGTAAAATACAAATATATATATATATGATAGAAATGTTTCATATATGGCATCAATAAGATTCAGCCAATATTTTGTACACATACAAATTTATCAGTTACTACATTGTATATTTTTAAATATGTTATCTACTGAGGTTGTAGTTGGTACTCCTACAAAAAAAAAAAAAAACTTACTGCTGTCGAGTTGCATCCAACTCACAGTGACCCCTCCTTCGGTTTCTGAGGTAGTACCACTATGGAAGTAGATTGCCCAACCCTCCTTCCGGGGAGTGACTGGTGGGTTTGAACCGCCAGCCTTCTGGTTATCAGTCAAGTGCCTTAGGCACTATGCCACCAGAGCTCCCATGGATAATAGAAAGCAAATTAAAATAAGACTATGAGTGAAGTCCATGGTGGCCATTTCTATGAA